TGCTTTGTGCCTATTAGCCTCTGCAACCTTTACAACGAGCTTTAAGAAAGATTCTGTTACCATGTTCAATTGCACAGACATGTAAATTGTCTGAAGGTGGCAGAGCCAGAAAGGCCGTGGGGATGCTCACGCATGTCAGTCTGCACCCTTTCCATTCTACTCCTGGCTTCTTCCCTTCCCTTCTGTTCTGCAGGGCCTTGGGAACAGGGTGGGAAGAGACATGTCCCAGGCTGCAGGGAGCCCAGGCCTCCCGGTGCAGCAGGGCACACGGACCCACCCTGGGCCTCCTGTGGTGTACGCAGCATAGCCACACAGCTCCTCATGGTCTGAGGACCCTGAGTGCCAACCATACACCCTGTGTTTGTTAGGCTCCCCAATTCCTGCCCAGATCTCTCCCTGCAGTCCTTTCTTGGCCCTCTCCCTCCCTCTTAGTCACCACAAACCCTTCCCCCAGGCAGCCTGCACCAGTTCAAGCCAACCTTCCTGAGAAAGGTGATCCTGCAGCAGCCAGGCCAGCCAGAGAAAGCAGCCTGGAGCCCCCACAGGGGGGTTCAACCAGTCAGACTGGAAATCACAGGCTGCAGCCTTGCCTCCTCCGGACCCCAAAAGTGGCCTTAAAACAAAAGCTCCCACTGGATGTCTGATCAAATTCCTCATCCCTCACCCTCAGCCTGCCTTCAGCAAGAATCCTGTCAAGTCCATAGCCAGAATCTCCCTACTCATGATGTTTCCTCTCAGTAATTTTCCGTCCGCTGACCCTAGCTCTGCTCCTTATAAATTCCCACTTTCTTTGCTGTAGTTGGAATTGAGCTCAATCTCTCTCTCCATACTACAAACCCCATTTTAGTAGTTCTCCTTGGATAAAGTCTAGTCTATAGTTAAAAAATAATAATAATAAGTAAAACAAAAATGTCCAGAGGTCAGGTGACAGGTCCAAGCAGGGCAGACCAAGAATGGGAGGGAGAAAACCAGTAAAGCAGTCCTTCAGCTTGCATTAGTGGCTTACATGTCACTCCTGGCTACGACGCAGAAAGGAAACCAAAGGTTCCCTGCACACAGATGTCCACAGAGGACAGGACCCGGTGTCCCTGCCTGGGCAGGCAGCACAGGTCACATGAGGCCCTTCAGAAGTTGCCAGGTGGATGGGTTGGAACCACCCCACTTCTGGAGGGAAGGAGAAAAGGTGTGGAGTCTGGTAGGGTGCCGCAAGATGGGGAGGGGAGTGCAGGAGAAGGAACTGGCTGAGAGGCCCCTTCATGCCCAGACACCACCACAGCCCTTACCTGGTCTCCCTGCTACAAGTCTTAACCCACTCTTCCAGCCAACATCCCAAGTGCCACTGTCACCACATCATCCCCCAGCTCAGAGACCTTCTATACCTTTGCCAAGGCTCAACTTCCTCCTCCTTAGCCAGGCCCTCAATACCCTCTGTCCTCATTCATTCATTAACAATATTTATTTATGGAGATCATTCCTGGCCCTGGCCCAGTATTATGAAAACAAAGAGGATTAAGATTTGGTCTTGCCCTCAAGGCACTTACAGTGCAGTCCGGGAAACAGAGAAACACAGAAATGTTCTCACTCTTCCCCTAAAGACTCCTTCCTATTCTAGCCAGACTGCCCAGAGTCCCAGGAACACCCCCTGAATTTGCACCTCTGTTGTCTCTGCTCCTGGGACTCCATCTGCTCCTTCCCTACAGGAACCGAAAAGCAGCCCATGCTGCAGGGCCTTGGCTTCTTCCAGGCCACAGGGCCCCTCCTCTGACCTCTGGAGCACCTGGTGGTGGCAGCAGCACTCAGGATCCCCTCACCCTGTCACTGGCTGCCTCATGCACACCTCATACCACTGTTGCTGCTGATAATGACTGTAAGACCTCTTTCAGTAGTAACAATAATGATCATAACTGATCCCTACACTGGAAGTTGCTGCCTGGGGCAAGGATTTGTGGTGGCTGAGGGGGAAGGAGAGGGCCTGGTTATCTCACTGTGGCCATAACCCTTTTTGCCTGTCTGTATCTTGCTACTAGACAACTAGACTATAGGCTTGTGTGAGCAGGAAAAGGTGGACTGAGTATGTCTCTAAAATGCCTGGCACGGGGCTTTGCAGTGAATGCTTAATGGCATTAGGAACGCCATGGCACAGATCCAGCTCAAGGCCACTTGCCCACCTGCTGATGGAAAAGAAGAGAGGAAGTCAGTGACTCAGCCTATCTAGGAAGTCTCCTCACTATTCCCTGGCAGGCCCTTCCCTGGAATGTCACAGGCTCTTATACAAAATGGCATAAACAGTAAATCACAGAAGTGTCAGCCTAGATGATAGCAACATGATCCAAGAATCTGAATTCAGTCTTGGCAGTAACTGGTGAATTGCCTCACTTTCCCCATTCACAAAAGTAGCCCTGGGAAAGGTGCCTAGATCAATGTCCAGCAATGGTAAAGGAATGTGCCTTAGACAAGGGTCAGCTTGAGAAAAGTGACCACATGCATCACTCATCTTGAAATCTCCAGCTCTCAGTACTGAGCTTAGCTATAGGACACTTGTATTTTTTGAATGGATAAATTAATAAATATTGATGACTTGTTAGAACCCATCTTCTTGGCTCCTTGATTTGTGTCCTGGATGCCGCTTCTAACTCCATGGGAAACTTTCTGGATCATCAAAGGCAAAGCTTCCCTTGACTCTCCAACTCTGTCCCTAAGTCTTACTTAATACTGAAAAGCATGCCCAAGATGAGGGAGTGCCTTCGTAAGCTTTAACAAGAACCCATATAAGAAACCTCAGTGGGTAGGTTTTAAAAGGCTGTTGTGAAGAAAGACAGGTTTCTCTCTCTTACACGGAACTCAAACTTCTAAAGAGTCATCTGCATCTTGGGGAAAGGTGGACCCAGCCATCAGAGGTGCAGGATGAACTAGAAGAGCTGTCCTTAGGTTTTAGGTCAATACACTAAGGACCCGAAGGGTGCTGCAGAGACACCCCACTCAGTGGTTCACCTCTGCCCCCCAACAAAGTGGTCAGCCCCAGAGAGATTCTGAGGAAGCCCCTGTGACCTGTGAAGGCAAACTGCACAGTCGCTTACCTGTGTAGCAGAGGAAGGAGACTAAGATGGGAGAAGCAAGGTGGAAGAGGCATAAGGAGACAGGCTGGTGATTAGCAATACCGGAGCAAGGGACTTAGGGAAAGCATGAGCCTCAGAGGGCCAGGTTGGTATTTTAGAAAAAGCAGTTCCCTCATTTGTGGGAAGGGAGACACATCTCTTGGAGGAGCTAACTCCCCTACAACACTGAGCCGGAGCCCAAGAGCTTCTGAAATGAGGTAGATGAGTAAAGCTCTCCAGGGACAACCTCCGTCACTCCTAGGATCTGAACTGTGGCCAGGATATCAGGGTGCAAACTACTGCTCTTCAGGCAAAAGCCAGGGGCTCCCCAGGCAGCACATAGCCTCAGTGACAGCTCAGCAGCCCTTGGCACCAGGCCCATCTAAAAACAGCCACTGCAAGTTTCCTTAAATGCTAACCCACTGCCCTTTGTCCCGAAGCCTGCAACCTCAAGTGCTCATCTCCCATCTGGTTCCTCAGCCACTCCCTTGCTCACTCCCAGGCCTTTCCCCAATGACCCCTCTTCCCTGAGCCTTCCTGAGGCATGCAGCCTTCTGCTGGCCTCCATACCCTTCCCATCCTCTGAGATTTCTCTCATCCAAACAGTGGCCTAGACTTGGCTCCCGGACCTCCTAGGAGGTCCCCTGAGAAAGAGGATTGCATCTGTTTCCTGACCCTAAATCCCTAGAAGAGAGTGAAGCAAAGAGAGAATGAGACCCTAGGAGCTCAGTGATGATGAACAGTAATAACAACTAGCGTTTATCCAGCTTCATCACATGTCTGACTTTGTGCTAATGCTTTTACCAACATTATCTCACTTAATCCCTACAATACCTCAGGAGGCAGGTGCTGTTATTATTCCCATTCTACAGATGAGACTAAAGCTCAGAAGCCTAAGTCATTGATATCCAAGGTCACACTGCCCCCAAGTGAGGTTTCCAGGTCTGTCTGGAACAAAGCCTGCCTCTTAACCACGCGGTTCTCTTCCTCCTGGCTCTACCTGCTCCCTCTTCTTTCCTGGCAGTGTGTTAGGAGGGAGGGCGGAAGCCTCAAATGGAGGCTCTGACAGGAGGAGGATCTGTACATTGCTGAGGCTACTCCCGGCATCAATCTGGATCCTGTTGGATGTTGTTCCCTCTAAACATAGGCTCCAGCATTGCCAGATCAAAGCTATGTGTCCTAAGGTGGGTCCTGCCTGCCCTCTGACCCCCTGATCTGGACAGGCATCCGGATGTTCCTCATCCTCCTCAGCTTCCTTCAAAACAATGCTTCAACCACCTGCTCTTCTGGATCTGGCTAATAAGCGCCCTTTCACACACATACACTCTCACCTTACCTGCGCCCTCCTCCAGGTGTCCCACCTTGTGGCTTACCTTCTCAACAGGACCCTGGAAACTCAATCCCGTTGGCCCCTTCCTTCCGCCTCTCTTCCTGCTCTGCTTCACATGGGGTGACCCCTGAACTGAGGGTACCCAGTGACTCAGTGACACCGCTCCCCATCCTGAGCCCTCTTCCCAAGCACAGGCTTCACTTCCCCTCCCCATCTCCACCTGGGGGTGTAGGGATGTCATTCCAGTGGCTATGATCCTCGTTGCCCAGCTCGGGGGACCCAGGCCTAACCCGCCCCGGATCTCTCGCGTGGATGGAAGGCTTCCCGGCGCGAGGCCGGAGGACCTACTCATGGTCACGGACAGCAGCAGACAGCCCCTCACCTCCAGGAACTGAGGCTCAAGTCCCCAGCCGGTAGCCCCCCACCCTGGGATTTACTCCCTCGCCCTGGCCTCCCGCGCCGCCGCTTCAAGCCAGAGACGGGCAGTTCCTTCCGGGCTGCGTAAGGGGAAGGGGCCGCCCGGGCAGGTGGAGGCGGCGGGAAGGTGGGGCGCCCCTCCGGCCACCGCCCCTTACCGATGGTGGAGATGTGCGAGGAGTGGAACTCGTTGTCGGTGAAGCGGCACAGCAGGCAGGTCTTGCCCACCCCGGAGTCCCCGATCAGCAGCAGGCGGAACAGCACATCGTACTGCTTCGCCATGGCTCGGGCCGGCGGGGACCGGGGGCTGCGGGCGGGCGGCGGGCTCAGCCCCGCTCGGCCGCTGCCATCGCGGCGCGCGCCAACCCAGGGACGCCGCGGGCGGCGAGGAAGAAGCCGCGTCGGCCCCCGCGCCGGCCTCGCGCGCTCGCTGGGTGCCGGGATCCGCGGCCGGGAGGAGAGCGCGGCGCCCCCGCCCGCCCCTTCCCCTGCGCCGCCGCCGCCGGAGAGGGGCGGGAGCGCGCCGGAGAGCGGCGACCCCGCGGCGGGGGCGAGGCCGGCGCGCGCTCCCCGCCCCGAGGGTGCCCCTCTCAAGCCCTCCGTGCGGGCCCCGGGGCCCGGGGGAAACGTTTTGGGTTTTCTGCGGACATTCTGAATGAGGGAGTTGGGGTGAGCTCCAACCCAGCCCACCTCTACCAAACTCGGATTTCGGCTCTCATCACTTCTCCCCAGATCCATCCCATCCCAAGCCGGCCCTGCTCACTCCGCCCCACCGAGCACCCCGCCCCTGCAGGAGCCCGGTAATGGTCCGTCCTCACCTGGGCTCACCCCGGGGCCAAATGTCTCGATCAGGGTCTGAGTTCAAACACCCGTCTACTCAGGAAGTCACCGTCCCCGGGGAGCACGCCAGAGTGTTGCTAGAATTCTCCTTCTATGCCGTGCGGCTTCCCGGTAACCCTGTGTGACTGTCCGTCCTCCCCTCACCCCATCCCAGGTTCTTTCTCTTTAAACGGGAAATATGTCACTCACTTCCGTACAGGATGAAAAGATAATTATAAAATTATTTCCAAATGCACAATCCTTTGTTAATATTGTTTGGGGTCTCCGTTTGGGGTCTAAGCTGCTTAGATAGGTTTGGAGTAGGTGCTTAGAAATGCCAGGACAGGGTTTCAGACCTCTAAGAATTTTGCTGGTGTACACCACTGGCACTGTTGGATTCCCCTGAGGAAGGCGCCGCCCCAAATCACTCACCAAAGACGTTTCTTGATGCAACAAGCAAGAGGAATTTATTCGGAAGCCAACTAGTTGGGGTCCAAGTCAGCCTGTCGCAGCAGGTCTCAACGAGGACCCCGAGCACACTAAGGCAGAAGGTTTTATAGTATTTTCAAAAGGGGTAAAATTTTCCATAATCACAATACAGAGTTTTTTCTATAGGCTCATAAATCTTTTGCTGGCGCCACATCCTGGGGTCTGATTAGATGAGATCACCTACGGAATGTCTAGGGTGGTTCTAGTAAGATAAGCTAGGCATATATGATTAACTGATTTACGGTTAGCTAACTAAAGGTCACTACAATTGACACAGAAAGGTCACTACAATTGACACAGGCTAACTAACTTGTTTTTCAAGATTCTAATGATTTTGCTTCTTCTGGGTTAGGGGGTGGTATTTAGGCCTTAAGATGGCTGTACTTATGCTAACTTTTGATTCTTCAGATCCTACAGCACCAAAGAATGAATAACCTCTTTCACGACCTTATTTAGGGCCACCGAATGTGTTAGCACCAGAGGGAGGCAAATAAATACTCTCTGGAGTCTAGAAAGTTGTGTATTCTTAAGAATGAATATGGGGGGAAAACAAGTCTAGCCCAGTCTAGATATTTCAAACATGATGGAAAAGAATGTGTCTGTGTTTTCAGGAGGAGTATTGGATTGGGAACGGATTTTTTCAGTAGCAGGGCAAGGAAAGCATTAAGTCCATTAACTTGAGTTATATTTCAGGCAGAGTGCCTAAATTTATAATAAAGAGGAAAAACTGAACCTGATACTACTTTGACGACATTGAAAGCTAGGAAATTGATCCTGTGGATTCCCTTGAGATTTCTGGGTTTCTCTTCACTGGATTTACAACGTGTTTCAGGTTCCTGCCAAAGGCTCTGGAATTGGGCACACTTGGGTTCCAGTCCTAGCTCGTCAACCTCACCAGCTGTGCACCCTTGAGCATGTTACTGAACCCATCTGTGCCTGTTTCCTCATCTGAAAAATAGGGTATCCTCACAGGATTGTTGGAAAGATAAAATACTGTGTGGAGATGTAGAGTAGCTGAGTCTTGGGGGTGAGGGGGTGGGTCTCTCCCTGCACACTAGGTGAGACCTCAACCTGGATGGGGGAGGGTTCTTGACTCTGAATGAGAAAGAATTCTCAAACAGGTCTATGAGTGTAGGTAAGGAAATTATTAAAGTGTAGGAAGGAATTTATTAAATGGAGAATAGCCGCAAATGGCAGCAGTCATGCAGGCAGCAGAGAGCAAGGAAAAACAGAGGGAGGAAAGGGAAGCTCACTGAACTCCTGCTCAGCACAGGGTGGATCCCTTGACATCTCCTGAAACCAGAGTCATCTGGCGCCCAGTGTTGAATCTGCAAGGCCTGGGAACTAAGCCCCACCACCCCAGGATTTAGGGGAGCTGCAGAGCCTTGGATGGAATAAGATTATTATGTTCTGAGAACTTCCCAAAGTAAAGAAAGGAGATTTGGGGGGCAGGCTACTGAAGAAAGTGACCATACACCCTCAGCCCCATCTGGGTCACCTGGGCAATCGGAACCTGCAAGCCCAAACCCTCTGATTTGGTAGCCTTTCCCTACTTGTCTGAAGTGTGTGCATAAGTCTAGAAAATCAAATGAAATAGCCCAGGACCAAAGATGCCTACCTTTGGAAGAGCACAGAGACAAAAACGCAGTAAATTGAGCACAGAGAAGTATTTAAGCTGAAGTACACACTCAAAGAAAAGGAGTGCAGGCAACCTCAGAAAGGAAGTTTGCTTAAAGGCTTAGGATTCTGTTTTTTAAAGATTTTAAGGATGGGGCAAAGAGCTGGGGCGGGTGTAGGCTTGACTTGTGGTCTCATAATGTCTCTCCAGTGGGAGACATTATGTTATCATCCATAGTCAGTCCTCTAGATATTCTATAAGATAAACAATGCAAGGAATTTCTTGATCCTGTTCTTCTCCAAATAGTGGTTACCCTGAAGCACTGGGAACATATCGTTTAGGACTGCTTGCCAGCCTTAAATAGGGCCAGTTGTTGGCTAATTACCATAAAATATGTTAGTAATCTTACCTCCTAATTCCCTGGTTTCTAAAATGGAATTTTAGCCTGAAGATGGAGTCTCTCCTATTCTTACTGTACTATTTATATCTCTGCATTTTTCATCATAGGCAGGAAAAGTTAATCATGATCCTTATGCCATGCCCCTGCTCAATCTCAGAAGGGACTCAGCACAGCATTTGACCAGTACTTAATACATGCCGAGGGAGAAAAGCCACCCAGTAATGTTTTCTCTGTATACATGGGCGGTAAGTATATCCCACAGATGGTCAGGGACGTTTCCAAGGACCTCAGGCATTCCTGCTGTGATTGTCAGCCTCACCACCAACCACACACAACTCAGCCTGACCCTCTCCAGCACTGCAGCCACCTTCCCACTGATCGCACTGTAATGATAAATACTCCCTACAGACCTTCTTATGGGACCATTAGAGACTGTCTGCTTGCTTCAGTCCAGGAAACAGGAAAGAGGATACAACCTTTCTAGCCCAAAGGAACTTCACTTTGAAGGAAATAGCTTTCCCTAGGCACAACAGAAAAGGGAGTAAGGTTTCCTAAATGAATCCAGGGAAATAAATACTGATACTCATGAAAATTTGAAGGTATATCCTCATGCTGGGCTGAACTCAAATACAGTGGCTTACATTGCTTTAAAAAAAAATCACCTAGAAGTCCAAGCCTCTAGATTTTCCATTCTCATCCTGGTTCAGCTACTATGAAGGCCATTATACAGAGAAACAGATCTCTTTCTTCTGTGTATGTGTACATACACCATGAGATGGAGCAGCTGAGGTTTGGGGACAATGTTAGTAAAAGAACCATATGAACTATTAGAGACAACAAAGTTCACTTTAAACAGGGTCTTTGTAGATGAGATACCAAATTCCATCCCCTTATCTCAGTCATTCAGTGGAACAACTTGGCATTCTCCCCAGTTGAGGTCAAAGTGGACTGGGGCAGATTTCAGTAGTGCTAGGAGACATCCAGGGAATGGCTGCTGGGTGTCTCCCACAAGAAGCCTCCAAGAACCTGTCTCTCAGTTAATTTACACTGATTATTCTACCAGGGAAACAAGGGCTACGGCTGCTTCCCGCCATCTCCAGCCCAGCCCCACTGAGCATGCTCCTTGTTAAGCAGCCAGCAAGGCCACCACTGTGGGATCTGCCATAGCAACAGCTGAGTAACTGGAGAGACGCACGGGTAGGCAGCCCACTGCTGAGACTCAGCACCAGCACACCACAGGGCTCCTCATTTGCAAAACCCCTCTCCTCTTCCAGGCTTTCATGTGTGTGTCCAACTCAGGGTGACATAAGAGATGTGCTCACCTTGCAGATGGATTTCCGCCTTGTCTTAGGATTAGAAGAAACAAAACAGACGTCCCTCTCCTACTATCTCAGAATCATGTTCCATGCACATCCTTTTTCTCTTCTATCTCTGAAAAATAGAGAAAGGGGAAAAGAGACTGAAATGACAAAGAAAGAGTGGAGAGGGTGAGTTGTCAAAGACACTTGCATATTGGAACTGGGGACGATACTGAAATTTAGGGGAAACAATCCTAGTGGTAGTTCTAGTTAACACAAAATGACCGTGTACCATTTCAGGTTGTCCTTGGTGTCAACTACCTTCAGGACTGTATTAGTTTGCCATAACAAAGGACAGCAGACTGGGTGACTTAAACAACGGAAACTGTTTCCTCACCGTTCTGAAGGCCAGAGGTCCCCGATCACAGGGCTGGCAGGGTTGGTTGCTCTGGAGGCCTCTCTCCTTGTACCTGGCCATCTTCATGTTCACATATCCTGTGCCTCTCTGTGTCCTAACGTCCTCTTCTTACAAAGACACTACTCACATTGGATTAGGATTCAAACATGTGGCCTCATTTTATCTTTCTGACCACTTTAAATGCCATGTATCCAACAATAGTCACAATCTGAGGACTTCAACATATGAATTTAGGAGGGACATGATTCTGCCCATAACAAGGAACAAATCCAGAAGCCTCGTCAGAGAGTTTCTGTGCACAGGTAATTTTGGGGAATTATTTCATTCTCTCAGAACAGGAAATGAAAGTTGTAGTGTCTTTCTTCTGACTCCCTAATAGGTGATCTGGCCTGTCAGTGTGGAGTATTTTGTGATGGGAAAGCCTCAGAAGAGAGATTC